TGATAAATACAAGCCAGGCCTTTAGGGAAATTAGACTAACTTTCCCATTCCAGGCTGTTTTCCCTCTCACAAACAAAAGAAGCCAAACTACCAGGCACTTTCTCCCATTCTTCACCAAAAAAGGTTTTTGCCCTGCTAACTACTTAACCCCTAAGTGGTTTAATCCAGTTCTGGAAACATCAGGTTGGTTACCAAACCAGGACAGGAGTTATTTGAAAGAAAGGCATTACAAACCCAAGGCAAAGAGAAATGGAAACGGGTCTTGTTTCCCATTCTTTTGTCCAAATGAGTGTGATGATGGAAATTGAAGGCAGGCCCTAGAGCTAATGCAACAGGCTTTCTACCACTATCTGTACCCCAAGCCTTCAATGCTTGTTCTTTACAGCCCACAGGAAGATCCTAAGCTCCAGACACAGAACCAGTCATCTGTCCTGCCCAAATTTCCCAGTCAGTTTGGATCTATTAGGTTTGTGTAATTTTTCTAGGACAAGCTGAGAAAAGAGCTTCTGCTGCTTTGCAGCCACTGAAACAAAGTTTGAACATTTTCCCAAGTTGAATGCAGTGAGGAGTTGTTTGGCATCTTTGCTGCTACCACACCTAACACTAATGATGCCTGAGTACAGAATCCAAAGAAGTCAGAAAGGGATAGCTTTCTGGGAGAGGGTGTGTATCTACAGGGACTACTGGTTGTGTGAGCAACAATCACCTCTTTTTGGGGTAGAGGGAGTGCAGTTTGAGAAGAGGGACAGAGTGAGAAATATGCCAAAGCAAAGGCAGGAGGAGTGTGGAATCCACTCCTGACATTCATAGCCAAGTGCAGAGGCCTTGAAAAAAATCCACTCTTCCTTCCACACCCAGTCTTTGCCCTCTCCCCCTGCTTCCATTTCGGAAAGTCTGAAGCATGCCTGGAAAGCTGTTTTCTGCTTTCTTCTCCTCTCTTCCTCCCCCTTTCCTGAGCTCCCAGCTGCTCGACCTCTTGCGTAACTGTGAGAGAGCACTGAGTTATTTGATGGGCTCCAGATGTGGAGTGGGAAGAGGGTGGAGGGATGGGGGCGGTAGGTCTTCAGTCCCCTGAGTGCTCTTACTGTGGGAACATAGAGACCCAACACAGCAGGAGAGGGGACACATTGCACAGAGCCTTCATCAAGGGGTCAGCTGGTCCCTGGATTGGGAGGACAGTGAGGACAGTTAGGTGCTGTTTCAACCCCCTGCCTCAGCAGCAGCTGCCTCTATGATCAGCTCAATTATTCCTTGAAATTCTTTACCGAGACAGTAAAGAGGAGCTAGGGTTGGAAATGAAAAATTCTGAGGTACCCCAATCTGAGCCCCTCCACAAATGCTGGGTGTTAGTATATGGGATACAACAATTTTGTTTCTTTCTCTTTTTTTAAACACACCAGAATAGCTTGAAAATTACTGTTGTGATCTGCTTCATGAAGGCTGGCCAGAGTTAAAGTCCTTTCATGAACCTCAAACTGTATGAACAGAGGAAGAACGAGACTTGCCTCCCAACTCCTGAGGTTTCCTGGTACCCACAGTGTGTGCTGGAAACTGACTGTCCCACCTCCACTGCCTAGAACAGGTAGCAACAAAGAGCACCCTCCCCCCTCCCCCTTTTTGTCCACTGCTTGGCTGGTCAGTCTCTGGTGGTGAAGGGCCCCCTGCTAATGCTAGCCCTGTCAATGAGTGACCAGGGATTCCTGCTGTTCAGACTCCTGCTGTTTCTGGTTTAGGGAGAGAGGGCAGAAACTAAAACCACCAGATCAGAACAAGGCTTTTCCATCTCAAAGACAATTTATTTTTTGCTATCCACTCAGTTGGAATTTAGGCCAGACTTAGGGTTTCCTGCTCCTTCCTTCAGCCAGGAAGAGTCTCTGGGGTCCCTCTATAGCATTCAGGTTAAAGAGATCCACTCTAGCTGAGTTCAGCTCCCTAGGGCCTCCCAGCCAGTCTCCTGAGGCAAGAGTTGGCTTTGCAAGTTAAGGATCCACTGTCAGTGTTCAATTTCTAGGTGGGGGTTGAGATGGAGAATGACTGACCAGGCTCAGTTTCTAGCCTGCTCTTAAGTGTTTACTGCTCCTCTTTTTTTCTCTTGTTAACCCCCATTCTTGTGTGTCTCTAGCCTGCCTCCCCATTGCCCAACCTTAATCCAGTAGATCTGTGGTGGGATGGAGCTAATCGGGGAGCTGGTGGTAGTAACTCCACTGGGCTTTCCTCTGCTTTTCAGATTGCGTGGCACTTTAACATGCCTTCTTTACCTATTCTTAGGAAACTGTGAAGCCTCATATGCAGGGTTCTCAACCTCATTTGTGGCTTTTCGTGGTGGGCCTAGGAATGGAGTGAGGAGAGGTGTAAGGAGGGAAGACCTAGGTGTCCCCAGTAGATGTTCTGGAGGAAATGTTGAATTGAGAGTATGTTGGGGCTGCGACGACTAGGAGGTTCAGTGGGAATCAGTGGAGGTTTTAGGCATGTAAGATGAGAGAAAAGAGAATAGGAGAGAAGAGGGAGCGCAAGCTGTCAAAAACACCCTCTCAAAACAGCTTTAAAACAGGAGTCCAAGGTGGTCTAGGAGAGTCCAGAGGGGAGGGCGGAAGGAAAGGCTGTGTGCGCTTGTGCTGTGGTGGTGGTGATGGTGGTGGTGGCAGTGGCGGTGGAGAGCCAGCTGTACAGATGAACAAAGCGGACGCTGTGCAGGCGGGGGGAGGTGCTGCTGTGGGAAAGGGTGGGTGGGGGACCTTGGGCTCCAGCCCCACAAGGGCGTCTTCTCTGGCTGGCCAGGCTGACAGGACGGGGGTGGGGGCGGGGACTCGCGGGGGTGGGGGGCGGGACAGGCTCACTCTCCTCCTACTCAGAGGACTCCCAAGAAAAAGTAACTGTGTTCTCCCCAGTTTGAGGCCGCCGCGGCGGAGCCGGGCCAAGGGACCGGTGTCCCCCTCACCCCTCGAGGTAAGCGCACCTCCTCTCATTACTCTCACCGCAGGTTCACTGCACGCCTGGGACCGCATAAGGGAAAGTCCCCAGGTACTGGCGAGATCAGCTCTAGAGTAGGGAGCTCGGAAGAAACCCGTAGGGAAGGAGGGGACATCTCAGGTGAGTGCGTAGAGATGAAAAGAGCTTTGTGGTAGTCAGCTTCGCCGCTTTCCCGTGAGCAGCTTGATTTTGCCCTTCCAAGCCGCTGCCAACGTTGCCGCCAGAGGGGGCCCTTGTGGACTCCCCCCCGGAAAGGACTCTGAGACTTGCGGATCCAAACTCTCCTTTAGGCACCACCACGGCTAGACCGACATTTGCGGTGGCGTGTGTGCGTGCGTGCCCTTGTCTCCAAAGCCCACACCAACCTCTCCGCCAAAAGCAGGAACACAGGAAGGGGGATCCCCAGTGGCGTATCCGCTCTTGTCCCTGGGTCAGCCGCCTTGATAGATTTCGAAGGGATAAGGAGTCCTGGTGGGAGGAACAGGAATCCAGGAGGGATCCTTGGAGATGGGAAGCGCATTTGAGGTTTCCCAGGCACTCTTCAAGACCCCATGTCTTTTGGGGTCCCGGAGGCCACATGGAGCACCTTGAAAGAGTAAATCGCAGGTTTTCGCCACGCCTTCGCGGTCTGGATTCGAATGCCTAGCGGAGTTCCCCCGAGCCGAGGCTGAGCCAAGTCATCGGGCTCCCCCGGGATGGGGAAGTGCAGGCGGACGACTGACTGGGTGGGGCCGCCGGGCGCAGGGTTGCCGAGGTGCCCCAGACGCTTCCGCGGAGGTGGGCGCGTTAGCGGGGACTTGGCTCGCTACCGCACCGCCCGGCGGGGGACCCCGGGCGCCGGGGCGGGGCTGCATTCTGGGCCCGTTAGCTCAGCGGTCCCGGAGGCTCCCGGGGGCTGACTCATCCGACGGCGGGTTCATCCACAGCTGTCACACCAGCGCAAGCTCTCACGTCGGGCATCCTCACAGCACACACGCCGAGCTCCCCACCCTCCACTCCCACGCGTTACATACACACAGCCCCTGTGCTACGTTCGCCATTGGGACACACGCAGAAACCCCAACACGCCTAGACCCCACCACACGTTTCACACTGCACGACTCACGTATAGGAAACCGTACCCCGTGCTCACGCAGCCCCATTCACAAGCTGCCCCGCTTACACACCTAGTCCCCACCTACACTGTCAACCTCACTCACACATGCAGTCCCTCACACATGCCAGTCCCCTTCCTGCAGCTGCCCAGCTGCAAGCTGCTGTGTGTAGGGGCCATTCCTTTTCCCCGCCGCGCAAACAAGCGGTTCCTTCTCCCTACCCAACCAAAGAAAGGCCTCTTGTCCCGAAGTCAGGGCGGGCGGGGCAGCTGCAGCAGTCAGCCCAACACTGCGCGGCCTTGTCCCACCCGGCGGCCTGGTGAAGGGCAACCAAGGGGGTGGGGTGACAGGAGCCTCTAGAGTACGGAAATCCCACGCGACCTGCTGGTTTCAGAGAGGTGAACGAGATGAACCTTTCCCGCATCCCCCAACTAAAAATCACACCCCCAAATTACACTCAACATCTCTTACTGGGGCTGTCTCCTCTGTCATCTGGATGCATCTCCTCTCCCCCACTTGTGGGGCCGCTGGTCTGCCCCTAATCTCCCTCTTTTCCTCCACCTCGCCTACCTACCCCTCTACGGTCACCCCCTCCACTGCCCCTCCACCTCCTGGGACCTTCCCAATTTTCCCCATCGTCTATCCTCAGTCTCTCCCCTGCCATCCTCTGCACTTAATCTTCTCCTCTGATTTCATTTTTTTCTTATCCCCAGGCTCACTCTTAAACGTCCCCCTCCAACCCCCCGCGTGTCACTTTCCCCTCCCAGTCCCTTCGCAGACGCCTTTATTTAAGTTTTCTCCTTTCTGGGGGCCTTTGGACACCCCCGCCCCGCTCGGGCATCCCGCCCTCTGGGCTCCTAGCCTCAGTTTCCTTCCCGTCCTCAGTTTCCTTCCCGTCCTGACTCCTTCCTCTGACTGTGGCCCTTCCCGGAGGGCGGATGTGTGCCGGGAAGGCGAAAGCCTTAGCGGGCCGAGAGGACCCCAGCTCGGCGCCGCAGGCCAACGGCCACAGCCATGCGACACTGGGGGCGAGGCCTCGGCTGGCCTCCCGGGACCAAGGTGAGCGCTTGGGGGTCACAAGCAGTGGTCCCACGGGGGCCAGGCCTTTCCCTCGGCGGCTGGCTATAGAGCTCGCATCTCGGGCGTCACTGGGAGCCCCAGGAGGCCTCCTTCAGTGCTTGCCGGTGCCAGGGCTGGTTGGCCCGGGCCTCACCTCACCCATTCGGGTGCCGAGGTCCCGAGGGGAGTCTTTGAGCGCCCCACTCGGCAGACAAGGCTGGGACCGGTGTCCCGTGTTGCCCAGCTGCTCGCGCGTTCCCGCTAGGCGAGGAGGCCAAAGGGGCCAGTCCGGGGTGACCTCCTCGACGCAGTCGGACCTTCCCTGTAGCTCTCCAAATCTGGCCAGTTAGGCGTCCACACCTTGCTCCGGAGGAGGCATTTGGGCATCTATGTGAGGGTGTGGGAGCCGGCTTCCTTGCCTCAGAGTGGGACTCACACCGCAGCGGCCTTTTTTTGGCGGCGGGGCGGGGCAGGGTTTCCCAGAAAGGCAGCAGAGGCCAGGGCGGGTGAGTAATTACAGCCGAGGGTGGTGGGTAGCAGCCGGGTGGGACGGAAGCGGGCCAGCCAGGGGGGGGCGCCCCGGCGCAGAGCCGCTTCGCCGCCCCGGCTGGGGTTGGGGTCTGAGGAAGGGACTTCCCCAGGTGGCTGCTCTCCCTGGCGCTGCGAGACCCCTGAGTCAATGCAGCTCTGGTGCTGGGGCAGGTTGGTTTGGATGTCTTACACTTGACTTGGGTTAGGTTTCTGCGCTGGAGCCACAGCCTTGCACCTCTACATATTCTCTTATCTTCTTCCTACAACTCTCTCCTTATCTCTCCCTCTGCTTTCACCTCCTCGTTCCATTCTGGCCTCTCATCTAATCACTCTTATTCCCCATCAACATAATTCTTTATCTCCACTTGAATTTCTTTGGTGTAAACAAATGATCACAGGAAAGGCTTCAGAGTGACAAACACTCCAGGGTGGCAGATGAAGAAACTAAGGCCCAGAAAGGTGAAGTGCCTTGCTCAAGGTCACACAACTCATAATAAGAGCTGGCATTTTTATAGTGCTTTGCACTTTGTAGAGTGTCATTTAGTAAAATACTGAATCTCCAATCTTTTTTTTTTAACTAACAGTTTAATTTATGTGTGATTTATATACCATAAAATCCACCCAATTTAAGTGTGCAATGATTTTTAGTATATTTACAGAGCTGAGCAACCATCATCACAATTTAATTTTAAAACATTTCTATCAACTCTCTCAAAATCTTTGTGCCCATTTATTCACTCTCTATTCTACCTTTAGCCTCAGGCAAACACTAATCCAATCTTTTAAAATTATTATTATTATAGTTTTATAGAAGATTGACTTGACAATCAGAGAAGTTAAATAACTTGTCCAAGATTTTATAGCTAATAAATAATAAAGTCAGCAGAGAATTTAAGGCTATTGTATCCCAGTTTAAAATTTTTTCCAGCTGAGCGTGGTGGCACATGACTATAATCCCAGCCACTCAAAAGGCTGAGGCAGAAGGATTACAAATTCAAGGCCAACCTCATCAGTTTAATGAGACCCTCTCTCAAAATAAAAAATAAAATGGGCTGGCAGTGTAGCTCAGTGATAGAATGCCCCTAGGTTCAATCTTCAGTACCACATAAAAATAAAAATAAAACTATTCACTGAAGGATGATGCCTTTTCTTCACCATTGTGTACTTTTTAATTTTTCTTACCCATTCTTTTACATAAACTCCCCATTCCCAATTCACTCTCTTGTCTCTACTCCCTCAGAAATGCTGAGGGATTTTCCCGAGTCTAAGGAAGCAGGACAGCAATCTGTCCCTGGAAACTTCCCTGTGGCCAGGATGCCTGGGCAGGTGCCAAGCCAGCTTGGGGCTTGGTGTGTTAATGGCCTTTGCCTTCCCTCTTCCCAGGCAGGCTTGGGGTGGGCCCCAGGCACTATTCCGGCCTCTCTTCCGCCAGCTTGGTTGGAAATGGTGACGGAGATGATGTAGTCCTGGCCCGGAAGGGTGGAACCTGGGAGGATAAATTTAGTAGCTCCATGACTGAGGCCCTTGGGACCCTTTGCCAGGGTCAGACACTCCCTGGAATGCTGGCTCCTGCCCCTACTTCCTCTGTAAGTCACCTGGTAGATGGCAGCAAGAAACAGCATAAGGACACCCTGCTTTCCTTATCTACCTCCCTAAGCCCTTAGCTTTCCTGGGCAATATTTCAGCAGCCAATGAATGTTTCTCACTTTGACACTTTGGCCAGATGATGGACATGTAGACACACAGTAACACACAAAGGTTCTTCCTCACATTTCTCAGGTACTAGAATCATAAACCAGGGAAAGAGGGATGGGTGGTAGTGGTAGGTGGGTGGGGATTCAAGTTCTGGTTCTGGAATCTAAGCTTCCTACAGCACCAAGCTAGGTAAGAACATGATAGTCCTACATTCCCAGTAATAGTCACCATTAGCTGATTAGATTGAGGTGAGGTTGCTTTCTGGGGAAGAGAAGGCGTAAGAGTTGAGATAAACAGAGATGGCAAGAATAGCTGTGTTTTTCCTGTGTCTCTTTTAAGAAAACATCCTGCTAGCTGGAGCAATGGTTCGTGCCTATAATCTCAGCACACTGAGGCAGGAGGATCACAAGTTTCAAGAATAGCCTGGGCAATTTAGCAAGAACTCTGTCTCAAAAAATAAAAAGGGTTGGCTGGGCTTGCTCAGTGGTAGAGAGCTCGCCCAGCATGCATGAGGCACTGGGTTCAATCTTCAGCCACATTAAAAAAAAAAAAAAAAGGTATTGTGTCCACTTACAACTAAAAAAATATAAAAAGGGCTGGGAATAGAGCCTAGTAGTAAAGTCCCCTGGGTTCAATCCCTGGTACCCCCTCCCAAAAGGAAGGAAGAAAGAAAAAACATCCTACTGAGACCCCTGGGAAAGAGACAGAGGAAGAAAAGGAAAGGAGGTGATGGAGCCCTTTTCAGTTAAGTTACCCACCTGGAGACCCTTTGTCTACTGGTGTCCCTAGAGGGGCTTCCCTGGATTTTGCTCTTCCACCCACCCATTAGTGGGATTTCTCCCAACCTACTTAAGGCTCCAGATGGCTGGGGGTCTTCAGCTGCTAAGATTTGAGTTCTAGGTTGCATAGAGCAAGAAAGCACAGAAATACAGGCCAGGCCCTATTAGGCTATTTGTGTTTACCCTGGCAAGGGCCAGGTCTGGTAAGGTGTGGTGGCTGTGTTGTGGCTGGTGAGGAGCGGGTAGCTGCTGCTACCTGCCTGTTTCTTTCCCTCTTCTACCCTGAGCTCCCCATCTCACCTTTATCCTGTGTCCCCAGGAACTCTGGAGTCCTAGGACCATGGATACTCTCAATAGGAGCCAGGTAGGCCCTGGATGCAAGACCCAGGTTGTGGTGCAGGTGAGTGGGTTTGGGGCCATGGCGGAAGAGGGTTATTGATGGGGATGTGTTCAGCTGTTCTACCCATCTGTGGCCCTAGCCTAAGGATGAGAGCAGCAGTTCTGTTCCTCTCTGTCCTTCCCCAGTTACCAAGCCTATTAACAGCTGAGTCTTTATCTGAATCAGGTTAATTGGTTCACCTAGAAACTCCCCTTTGAAAGTCAGAAGCGGTTTACAGGTTGTCCCTGGACAGTATCACTGGGCTGGATCCTGGATCGATGCCTCCGCCCTTCCTTGTAGCTTAGTTTAGTAGGGGCAAGCAGCAGCCAGGTGGATAGCCAGGGACAAAACTGAAAGGAGCTGGGCTGGCCCTCCTCTACAGTGCCCCCTCCTCCTTACCTAGTGCTCTGCCCCCACCCTTCTCTCCTTGTTTCTGTTTTAATAGACAAAAGGGGCAGTTGAGCCAAGACTTGAGATAAATCCAGTGGGGCGAGTTGGTGGCCTAGATTCAGATCTAATTACAATTTAGTGGAATAATGCTTTGTGTAAGATTTTGTGCTAAGCCTTTCAGCACCTCAGAGCCCTTTGAAGAGAGAGGGACAAGGGCTGGAGAGAATGCTGGTGCGACTGGGACTAGGGTGTTAAGGTGCTGGCCCAATGTCTATAATGAGGCTCATCTCCTACCCCCACTACCTGCAGAAAGGACCCTTGGACCTGATCGAGACAGGCAAAGGGCTGAAAGTGCAAACGGACAAACCGCATCTGGTGAGCTTGGGCAGCGGGCGGCTCAGCACAGCCATCACCCTTCTGCCACTGGAGGAAGGTAAGCGTGGACAGGGACTCCCCACCTTCATCATTACAGGCATTCTGTTCTGGAGGCCATTCCCAAGCATATGTTGGGGGCCCTTCTGCCTCTGCCAGCAATGCTTCCCCAGACCGCTTGCCTTCTTTGGTAGATAATCTGGCTCCATTCTAGGATTAAAGATCAGTTTAGAAACAAGAAGGAGAGCACATTGCTCTTAGCAACCAGTATGTCCCAGGGAAAAAGGGGTCCCACTCCAGGATGATGCCTGCGTGAGAGGCAGGACCAGTGGAGAATGACGAGATGGAAGAGGGGGCTCCATCTCCCAAGAGGAGGCCCTGGTGTGGCTCCCTATAATTCTCAGCTTCTGCCCTCCCCTCTTCTCTCCTGGCTGCACCTGTTGCCTGGGTGATACTACATTCCCCACATTCTCTAAATACCAGTCTCAGGGACTCTGCCAAGGAGGGGCTGGGGGAGAGGCTGTACTGGGTGAGAGGAAGGAAGGGAAGGGACGGGTTGCAGGTGGCAGAAGGAAAAGGGGAGAGCAAGATTTAGAAGAAAAGCTGGGAACAGCCAGAAGGGGGAAAAGAAAAAGGAACTTAGTGGGTGGGTAGAGAAACTAAAGGTGGTATCCTCCTTTTCTACTCTCTCAGTCTGGTTCCTGTGCCCTTTGTGCCTTCCCATTCCAAGGCAGAGTTTTCTGTTTGAGAAGAGCTTTTGTTACTTACAGTCTCAACCAGACCCAGGGGCCCAGGAGGGGTGAGCTGTGGTGGGCAGAAATTCTCCCTGGAGCAGCAGGTGAAATGGATTCCCACAGTGACTCTTCTTGCTCTCTCTGCCTGGACAGTCCCCTGATTTAGTTTACCTCCTGTCTTCAGGGAGAACAGTGATTGGCTCCGCAGCCAGAGATATCTCACTTCAGGGTCCAGGCTTGGCTCCAGAGCACTGCTACATCGAGAACCTGCGGGGTACCCTCACCCTCTATCCTTGTGGCAATGCCTGCACTATTGATGGGCTCCCCATCCGACAGCCTACCCGACTTACTCAGGGTAAGATTGATGCCCCTAAACTGAGGAAGGAGCCTCTTGGTCACAGCTTGTGCATGCTGGGTATAGGGGAAACCTAACGTGGTGGTTACCATGGTAACTGCCTGAATGGTCATAGTCAGGTGCCTCTGGACTTACAAAACCCCTCCAGCAGCCAGACTTGTCTTCAACCTGCTTTTCATTTCTGGGTATCCTTACCTTGCCTCCCCACATCATGTGGAGAGAAGAGACTCTAATTCCTGCTGTCAGAGGGCCTGGGAGCGAGAGTGTGGCTGTTTAATGGTTGTTGGGACAGAGCAAGTGGAACGACAGTCTTTTTTTTTTTTATATATATATATATAAATATATATATATTTAGTTGTAGTTTATTTATATATATATAAATATATATATATTTAGTTGTAGTTGAACACAATACATTTATTCCAAACATTTAGTTTTATGCAGTGCTGAGGATTGAACCCAGGGCCCTGTGTGTGCTAGGTGAGCACTCTACTGCTGAGCCACAACCCCAGCCCCCGGAACAGCAGTCTTAAGGAGATCAATGGTGTTGTTCCTCGATGCCAAGAGGGAATTTAGAGAAGCCGTTGAGGAAGATGAAACCCCTGTGGAAATGGGGCAAGTTAGCTGAGTCTGATGGCAAAATCTGAGGACGTGCCTGTTCCTGCTACAAGACTGTCATGAATATGCTCACCGCTCTGTTTCCCAAAGCACCAGCCATTCTCTTATGCAAGGGAGACCTTGTGTTGTAAGGACCCCTAATTATGACGGTTATTAGGCTGGTAAAGGGCTGGCCAGGTGGCACTTTGACAGGCCAGGTGTGGAAGTTTCTCTGGAAACTAGGTTCTGAGCATCATTTCATACAGTGAGTTGTTCCATCAGAGGAATAAGAAAAGCAGATGTGGGCGGGGCCAGAGGTGAGTTTATAATGAAGACCAGAGCTTTGGACTACGCCTGGCTCTGCACATCTGCACAGAGGGACTCTCACTGGTCTCACTTTGTCAGGGGAAATCCCACTCATTCCATTGTCTCCCCAGCTCCTTCTATTCACATGCCTGGGGCCTTTAAGTGCCATTTTCTTCAAAATTGGCCTAGGAATGACCATGCCCCACTCCTTCCTCCTGCCCCTGAGGTGAGCACAGGGTAGGGAAACAGACTGCAGAGAGACAGGTTCCCAGCAGCAGTAGGGCAAGTCCTTGCCTTCTCTAGGGCTTCAGGGTTTTTGACTCTGGTTGAGAAAGAGAAACCAGGAAATGGGGCTTTGGTCATGATGCCATCTGGTTCCTGATGGTCCGGTTCAGTCTCAGAGGGAGCATCTGCTCCAGGATTTGGGTGCACGCAGGTGAGACAGCAGAGAAACAAGGAGAAGCAGGGCAAAGTTCAAAGGTGGCCAGCCCTCACTCCCCAGCCCCCAATCCCATTGCTTCCATGGTTAAGAACACCTTTGCCCCTCGTGCTGTGAGCAGGGTATTTGTGAGCAGTACTCCCTATGCCTCTGTTGGATCTTCCCAGAGCATCTTCAGTTCCCTGAGAAGAGGGCGGGCCTGAGGCCATGATGGAATTTTTAAGCATTTCCTGTGGCCCCAGTGACCCCCCTTCCTCAGCCAGAAGCCCACCCTGCCAAGTATGTACCCTCCCACTCTCTTTTGACCCTAAACTCCCTTTACCCCTCACCCCCCAGTAGCCTTCTTGTCTGGGCTCGCCTGTCTTAGAAGCTTGGCAGCCTGTGGAGGGGTAGGCGGAAGCACAAAGGAATGGGTGTTCTTCTCTGAAGCCCTCCCCCTCCCTGGGCTCCAGGAGCTAAGGGTTTCCTTGTCTCATCTCTGGAGCAAGGCACCAAGCCCAGCCTTGCCTGGCCCCACTCCGGACATTCTTGGGAGTGCGTTTCCTTGGGAACTGGGTGGCTCGGGGTGCATGTGTTATCTGTGTGTCTGTGTAACAGGAGTGTGTTTATGTATCTCCGGATATGTTTGTGACTCTAGGCTTGTGTATTTCTGCATTTGTTTGTGTCTTTCCTTGTGTTTATGGATCAGTGTGTTCAAGTGGGTGTGGGGGTGAATCCAGGACTGATGGTACCAAAATGCCCATGAGTGTACTTAAGTGTTTATATGGGAACTCACTGGCCATATGCCTTCGGGTGGGCAGATGCTTGTGAGGACTATTTAGGGCTGGGTTTTGTGGCTCAGTGGTGGAGCCTTTGCTCAGCATGTGTGAAGCCCTAGATTCCATCCTTAGCACTTGGTGGCGGGAAGGGGGGATTTTCCCTGTCTTATTTCTCTTATATGGCCTTATAGAGTGGACCCTCCTCTTTATTTTTTTTTT